GAAGGAAGGAAGGAAGGAAGGAAGGAAGGAAGGAAGGAAGGAAGGAAGGAAGGAATGAATGAATGAATTTGGGGGCTTTTTGAAGGAAGGAAGGGAAGGAGGGAGGGAGGGAAGAGAAGAAGAAAAAAAGAGAGAGAGAAAGAGGAAAGAAAGAAAGAAAGAAAGAAAGAAAGAAAGAAAGTTGCTTTCTACCACCCATATTAATCTGTGGAATTCACCGCTGCAGGATATTCTTAAATTTGATAATCTTCCCTGCCCCGTTGCTTTTGTTTCCTAATTTTGCGTTTGCCTCGCACACCCTCAAAGGATCTCAATTTGATATACCCTGCCATTCTCCACAATGTTATAATTTGGGCCAGGAAAAACAAGGCTGTTGACTAAATTCACATCACCGTATTGACCTCCTGGGGTGTCTGTGTAGCTCTTTATTATGGCCATGCCTCATTGAAACAGAGAGGGCGCGAGTACCTCTCCTTTTCGGCACAATTTTAATCTTCTGCCGAGATCTATTTTCATAATTAAAAGAAGAAGAAGAGAAAAAAAATCTGAGGACGCCATGCCCAACTCCGACTTCTGATTACACTGTCAATCCTAACTAAGCAATCACAGCGACTGGTTTAATTAGCAAGAATGACTCTATTTAAACTCCATTGGGGCCTTGGGAATGGGGGATGCTTCACTACCCAGCTGGGGCCACATTCTGAGAAAATAATAAAAATAAACCCGTGTTCCAGCACAGAACGAAGGAGAGCAGGGAGAGAGGAGAAGACATGGCTCAAAGAAGCGTTGGAAGTTCTGGGTGAGAAACGTTAATGGCCGCCAGGTTCCCGACCATATTTGACTTGCGAAATGATCAGGGCTTCAGCCTCTCGATGAGACCTCTGGTCTTTTTCATTTAAACATTTTTTTCCAGTCTCATTTTTATTAGTTTTTATAAATAACTCAAGCTGGAGAACATAGCTAATACTCCTTCTTCCTGTTTTCCGCGTAACAACAACCCTGTGAGGTGGGTTGGGCTGAGTGAGAGAATAAGTGGCTCCAAGTCACTAGCCGGGTTTCATGGCTAAGGTGGGATTAGAACTCACGATCTCCTGATGGTTGGTCAAAAAGTCACGTAGCTGGCTTTTATGAATAAGGCGGGATTAGAATCACTGTCTCCCAGTGATTGGTCCAAATTTCACCCAGTCATCTTTCATGGCTAAGGTGGGGCTAGAACTCACTGTCTCCNTCATCACTGGGAGCTTTCAAAAAGACTGGCCTGCCCTCTGTCAGAAATGGTGTAAGGTCTCTTGATTGACCAGAGAGTTGGACTAGATGACCTACAAAGTCCCTTCCAACTCTGTTAATCTGTAACATCTATAAATCAGTTTTTTCAGTGCCATTGTAACGCCGAATGGTTACTGGTTCGAAAAAAAACTGTTGTAAATCGAGGACTACCAGTATTTTGAACGTCACACCCTTTGGTTGGGCTCTGGTTTTCGAGACCCGAGAACCCCTTTTAACCGTCTCTTTTTCCTCCTGTGGCAGATTCCACCAAGGGGATTACACCGTGGAGGTCAGCATCAACGATTACCTGGACATATACTGCCCGCACTATGAGATCCCGTTTCCCATGGATCAGATGGAGAGGTACATTTTGTACATGGTCAACTACGAGGGACACAGCTCCTGCGACCATCGGCAGAACGGCTTCAAACGCTGGGAATGTAACCGGCCGGATTCCCCCAACGGGCCCCTCAAGTTCTCCGAGAAGTTCCAGCTTTTTACCCCTTTCTCCTTAGGATTCGAATTCAGACCCGGGCACGAGTATTACTACATTTGTAAGTACTGAAAGCTGCCTTAATGCTTCCCGTAGGAACCGAGCAGGCTGGAGTTTCCCTGGGGTGAGGTGAGGGGTTGGGAGGGCGAAAACTTTATGTCCCGTACATGAAGTGAGGATTTTAGCTGAGCCTAGCGATGGCTAACCTTTTTGTTGTCGTTGGCCGAAAACGCATGCACCCATAATGCAACGTGTGCATGACCCCTCCGCGCCCCCATCCCCCTGCGCAGGGGCGTGCAATCCCCCCGCACCCTGATTTGGGCCTCCCTGCAACCTCCTGGGAGCAAAAATGGGTCGGTGTGAGTGTGTGTTATCCATGCACATTTGACCCTTGCGCATGCACTCCATCTGCCCCATACATGTGTGGCATAGACTCAAAAATCAACTGGCCAGCAGGAGGCACATGCACATGTGCAGTGGAGTTGAGCTGGGGGCAAAGGAGTTAAAAGAACACAACATACAATCAATCTTAGTGGGGCTGGAGCTCAATCAAGGATCAACAGCCCCAGGCCTGCCGGAACAGCCAGATCTTAATAGACTTCCGGAAGGCCGAGAGAGTGGGGAGGGTCCGGATCTCAGGGGGTAGATCGTTCCGTAGGGACGATCCATAGGCAGCTACAGAGAAGGCTCTCCCCCCGAGGGGCTGCCAGACGACATTGTGTAGTCGACGGCACCCGGAGAAGGCCCACCCTGTGAGATCTTATCGGTCGCTGGGAGGTATGTGGCAAGAGGCGGTCACGGAGATATCCAGGTCCTGGATATATTGCTATTTTCACCATTAGGAAACTTCTCCTTAGTTCTAAGTTGCTTCTCTCCTTGATTAGTTTCCAGCCATTGCTTCTTGTCCTGCCCTCAG